CCCCAAAACCCCAAAACCCCAAAACCCCAAAACCCCAAAACCCCTCATTATAAAGCTTGGTTTAATATTATAAGATATTCTAAAGTTTTAAACTTAAAATGGAGCCCAAAGATTCGTTATATCAAATAGATCCTTCAAAAAAGCTTGCTGAGACAAAGAAACCAGCTCAGAACTGGCCTGGATGAGGCGTCAAAGTTGGATCTTCATTTGATTTCCAAGAAAGAACTAAAGATCTTCATGAACCTCAAGATTTCAAACAAAATTTAAAAGAGAGGAGCAAGTCTGAACATGAAGTAAAGTATATTAATACCACCCAACCCCTTCCTCACCCTCCTCTCTCATCTCCCAAAATACCCGAAGAGTCCAAAACCAGCCTCCAAAAAACCATCAGTGAGGTCAAGAAGGGGAATGGCCGCCTTGAGCTAGAACAAGTTGAGAGTGAAGAAAGTGATTGATTTGAGATAGGAGGTGGGGCGAAGGAGGTGGAGGGGGTAAGGGGGTTTAGAGAGAAGAGTGAGGAGGAAGAGATTGGGGTGGAGGGTACCAAGAAATATTCAGATACTCTAGTCATTGCTAGTGAGATCATAACTTCCCTAGTAGACCAAATCGAAGAATTATGAACGCGCAAAAGATATTATAAAACTCAAATTATCAAAATCCAAGAAGCCCAGAGAGTATCAAGAATCCAGCACAAATGAAAGATAGATGCCCTAACTGAGAAACTTTCTGGTCTAAAGGTCAAACATCAGGAAGCTATTGATTATCATCTTCCTATAGAGCAGGAGTATTATAAATCTATTGTGAAGATTGCAAATCCTGATAAAGACCCTGAGTTATTAGCCCTCAAAGAGAACATGAAGCAACTGGAGAAGACTTACATAGAGCAGAAAACTGCTTTAGAGTCTGACATCAATATAAAGAGTAAATAAAGAATCAACATTTGCACGTGAAGCCGAACGGCTTCACCGCAAGAAGGATTCTTTAGAGAAATCTATTTCTGAAATGTCAGATGAGCTACTTATGCTCAATAACCATAAAGAAATTCTAACAGATAATCTTTCTAGACTCGGAAGCCAGAGACAAGCTCTTGCTTCAGAGTTTAAAAAGAGAGAGGCTGAGATCTCAAATAGTGATGAAATCCAAAAATTGGAGGAGACCCTGAAACAGAGAAAGCAAGAGACTGATAAATTTGAGTTCAACAGTGAGAGGCATCTAAAAAGCCTTGCTCAAGAAGCAGGTAAACTAGAGGTCGAAGTCAAGGTAATGAGAGACCGAACTTCAGTCCTCAACAGAAGTATCAATTTCGAAAAAGATAGCTTCCATGAATCCTTAATGTTCGAGGTATCAAAGTGTGAGAAGATTTACGACGATTTCCAGATAGAAAGAACCAAATTAAAACGATTAAAAGACATTAAGCACCAGAGAAGGAGCCAATTAGAAAGAACTAAGTTGGAGCTCCAGAGTTGACAGTTTAGCCTCATGCTTGCTCAGGAAAAGCTAAAAGTAAGTTGTAGCTATTTAATGTATAGAAATTTTCAAAGTTTAGAGATACGGTTGATTACAAAGTCTATATTCATGATATCAAGAAAGCACAGCGTGATGAATTAGCACCTCTGGAGCTAGAAGTGGCCAAGATGCAGACCAAGGTGAACCGTCTAGAGATTTTAGACTTACCAGAGCCTCCTATTCCTTTGCTGTTGATGAGAATTACTATTGGGGTTCTTTTGTTCATATTGGTGACAATGCTGATTCTGTTCTAATTTGACGCTAAAATTTCAATAAAATTACTCCTAATGGGGTTTTGGGGTTTTGGGGTTTTGGGGTTTTGGGG